AAGTAGGTATTAGGTAGTTCTAGAATATATTATCTATAAGGTTCAAATACAATACAACATAGCCAGGTTCTTCCAAGGGGATTTTAGGTCCACGGTCGAAGCCCCGGTGGGGTCGGCAAAACCCCCAAAGCAAGAGGAGTTTTGTGCTTTATGAGTCTAAATAATGCTATAAAGCAGATATGTTTGAAAACGTGGTTGTCTTAGTGGGTCTGCAGTGCATTAGTTGGGTTCGAGGACTTATTTACGAAATTTGAAGAAGGGGTTTCTCCAAAAAAGAGGGGGTTTGCTAGAAAATGAGGGGGTTCTCCCGAACCATAAAACCCCCCTGGATACGGGCCTGTGAATATAACCAGCGTTGATGAAACAAAATAATTCGTACAACTTTGCTATATCGCTTATTTTTCGCTTTTCAATATTTTGTTATATTAATGAATATAGCCAATACGGTCAATCACCTACTGATTCAAAATAAACATGTCTATTGTCAGCGTATACTCACTACCAGTTATACTACTATCTTGAACTTCAACCCTCTGTTACTTGCCACTGATGAAGGAGTGTTGTCCGAAGGTTTTGGTTCATTACTGGTTGTTGAAGTTCAACGTAATACATTTTAATTTTACGCTACAATTGTAGGCCCATATCTCACCTGAGATTCAGACATCGTTACCTACAACAATGTTTTTTTCGGTATCTTGGCAAAAAAGTCAACAAAAATAATAGAATTTATTTTAAATACAGTAATTGTCCGTAAAACCATAAAGGAGTAGTAAGATACGTCAAAAAATATATATTATATGTTTTGCTATTCTAAATAAACAAAAATCAAGAAATATCATATGATAAACTGTGCGTTACATTATGGTATAAAACCATCAACACAACATTATGATTAAACTTGGCAAGTTTCATCAACGATTTATTTTGCAAAAGTTGCATTCACATCGGATCCAAACTGGAATTTGGTCAGCGTCTGAGATGCGCTGAACGTCAGCTTCCCTATTCTTACACACTGAATCAATTTTCTGATCCGAAAATTCGGATTCGGTGTGAACGCAGCTTATGCTAGAATTCGTCGGTGTGCTTTATAGTTTATTTAAAATTCTGACTTTAGTACAATATTTTCACGGTACAGCGACGAAGAAGTTGATGATGTCGTCGAAACTGGAGAAGGCAGAAGCGAAAATGTTTCTGAAGGTGTGGTTGGTGAATTTAATAAGGGTGCGCTTGTACTTGTGCAGGCGATAGGGGGTGGTGAGAAGTTCGAAGGTGAAACCTTTGCTGTTGGTGATGTTGCGGATGATGGAGATGTTGCCAGTCGAACTGTATGAAGATCTGATTTTATGTTTGCGTTTTCGTCCGAAGTTATCTTCTCCTCGTTTTCATTGTCACTCGGTTTTTTCTTTGCTTCTTCTTTCTTCCACTTCATTCGTCGATTCTGAAACCATATTTTAATATGTCGCTCAGTTAAATTCAGTAACGCAGCCAGTTCTATACGTCTCGGTCGAGAGATATACTTATTGTAATGAAATTCTTTTTCCAGTTCAAGAAGTTGACCACGTGTATACGCTGTCCTTGTTCGTTTATTCTCATCAAAGTCTGCGAACGAAGCCCCTACAGAAAAAAAACAGACGAAAATTAGACTTTTGTGGCAAATCACTAAGCTTTTTTAAAGTTGTTGTCAAAATGTAAATCATTATAACTCTAAGTCTGACAAAAATAAAATTCAATTATCGGATGTGCTGAATACATGGAAGTTAATTACTTCCGATTATTAGTTTGTATTTTGGAATAATCTGGAACCTTTATCTTCAATTAATCCGCTACAGACGAAACGTTGTCCTCGGGCTTTAAGCATTTCAATACTGGCTCGTTGGTATTCTACTGAAAATAATAGGCTTACCCCTATCAAACACACAGCACAACACACTTAATATACAATAATTGCAAAAAATGTTATTGAACTATTTTCTCTTGGTGCTTGACTTCCCATTAAATTAGGAAGACGAAAACTTATTTTGAACACAATGTATACATTAGTATTTAATTCTGTCTGGTTGTTATGTTCAACCTTGGAAAGTCTTCGATTCAATTCAGACAAGTGTTTTTTAGAACTATGACTAACAATTTAATGACTGAAAAGAGGTGAATCTGTATTGTGTTCGTAAGATTCTAATTAAATTGTTCAGAGTGAAATTTAATCAATGTTGAACACTATTGTGCGGTTTCTGTTGACAGTATTTAAATGTATATGCTTTAAAAGTAACTCCGTACAATCGTTAATTGTCTAATCTGTAATAACTCAATTATATTAGTAAATCATTCAATGACAATGTTTTGACACTGGTTTTATTGATAATTTGTATTCCATTTAATTAAATATAATTTATATAGGCCTGGAGTAAAAGAAAAACATCAACGATTCGATTGCAATATTGAATTGAAAAAAAAATCAATCTATCAATTTATGCTGTATCCAGATTATCAAAATATTGTGTGTCCATATATAGTCATGATGTGCCTATATATTCTTCTTCTATTCCAGTACAGACCACCTTTTTGTTGAGAGTAGGGGCTGTGAGATAGACCAGCACCGGGGTAACCCCCTACATTGTTTAGATATGCGACTACCGTATCGTCTCTACGGTCAAAAGGTATGACACTCGACATAATAGCGATATATTTACGCCAGAGACACACATTTGTCATAAAAATAAAAGATACAACTTTTCCTTTCAACTGTTATGTTTGATACGATTATAAACATTATGTTACTATTAAGCATTATTATTACAATTTATCCCAGCTGAGGAACATTTTTTCCATTTGCTGATTCTTTTTCTTTAACGTTCAATTTTTACAGTATATTATAGTTATACCAGGTTATACAGAACGGTTTAGATTTTACCATTATATTGTACCATAACTAGACCT